ATTGAAACTCAGGTTTATAACTTAATTTCTGTAGGACTTCTATTACATTTTTTTTTTGAGAAATCAACTTCTTTCGTAACAGTGCATATGTGATTAAAACTTGTCGGATAAATGGTGAAACACCCTGTATTATTGAAAGGATATTTATATCCCTTTGGAGTAATTTCTGACTAAACTGCTCTCTAGCGAATTGGCAAAAACTCTCATTGATTAACATATACCACCAGAAGATACTGAATTTAGTTTAAAGCCGTGATATAAACCGTGGCTTCGCCAGCTACTTGTGCTTACAACTCTAGAGGGTGTCGTTAAAGCTGGAACTTTCCTTTACACAGCGTGTAGTTCATCTAACAATAAGCAAATTTTTCCTACATGCCAAAACCTTAACATATTCGACGTGCGAAATCTGAATCGGACCGGTCCAGCATGCGCCGCGCGATGTGTAGGTTAACCAATCCACAAATCGGATTTGAAAAACTGAAAATGGCACATTCCTACCGCAATAACGTAGTTATCAATTTGATCTTAGTTTACCGTGAGAGTATTCGGAATTGCGTGGGTTTGTTTATATCGTGCAAAATCCGTCGAGATGGATACAGTTACAAGAATAATGTGACGATTCCTTGGAAAGTTGATGCCATGTTTAAGAATAAATAATTCTCTTATAAAAGGAAAATTGAGTCTGTATTGTTACTCGATCCTATTTGGTAGCATGGCTGTAACAATGAGAATTGTATTCTAACGTCCTAGCATAGATTTCTGTTTCTTCCTGTAGAATATGTTAATCAATGAAAACAGTGACGATAGACTAGATTAACCTGTATATTGAAATGCATGGTGAATTCTAATCATTTTCGAGTTTGGCGATAATTCATCTTTTGCTGAGTAAGTAGGTTACAACTTGATTACTGCTCATTTTGATAGTCTATGAGTATCAAAAATTGTACAAAAAATTAACGAAATTGTTGATAATAAATGTGGTTTGAAATTGTATGGGATAAACATATTTGAGAATGATGATAGATACGTGTTTGGTTGTGTTCATAAGAAATATGTGTGATTAGGCGCAGTATGGTCCGATGTAACTGGATACTTGCCTATTATAGTCCATGACTGAGGTTCTGAGAGTGTATATTCGATTTGGGTGTAATAATTCAGAGTTTATGTCGACGAAATTCTAACACAACCATTTCGCTTTATTTACTACACAAAGATTTTAGGTCTAATTATTTTGCACTTTTTAGCTGATCTAATTTGTTGAGCAAGGGTATGAAAACGTTGAAGTATCAATCAATTCAGAATTACAATATAATTTTATCTAAAAAGATGTGTAACATCAATTGAAGTTTTATTCCTTTGACTACTGGTATTTGGTGATCATATTATCTCAACCTTGAATCATGCTCGTTCAATTTGCATTTAGGGTATTGTGTGATGTTCTGTTGATAACGATGTGATCGAAGATCTGAAGTTGGATAAAGAATATTGGTTGATTCGAGATTAATTATGCTGAATAGGTAACCAAAAATATCATATTCTGTCTTCAATGTATGATCGACTGATGTCGACAACCACTATTCATTGGTGTTGACCATGACCAGATGTCAGTTGAAGTATACGACCTCTCCTGAAGCTGAAACCAATGGCAATTAAAACTGCTAGTACTTTGAAATTGTCGTTAACCTTCAGACTCGAGCAAACGCAAAACCGAATCGTCAATATCGGTTTTTGATATTTACACAAAACATATGGAAAATGGGTCTGAGTTGATTTAGCTAACATAATTTCTCATGGGAGCAAAGCAATCGTATGATTATTTTCAGAGGAATTGGCGGGTGAAGTTTGTCCAATTTTAAAAAACAATGAATGTGCCGATTTTAGTTATCATACCAAAAATTCTGGGAATCTGTATAGGAGATTTCATCTTGACCTGTATAACTACAAGGTCACTTTAAGTTGATTTGCATATGTTAATGCTGAAATAGATCTGGCACGAGAATTCCGAAAATTCAATAGGACAGTTCGTTTCTCAAGGGCACAACCACAGCTTCTCCGTGACCTTGTGTAGCGAACTGCCCTTTTGAGTGATTTTTTTTAATTCTCGAACGACTCGTGCCAGATCCATTTCAACATTAACGTATGAAAAAAAACTTGCCCTTCACTTAACCTTGTAAGAATCATGGCCAAGATCAACATGGCATCTCTAGAAGATTGTTTAATGAAATATTTCTTGCCATATAACAATTCCGCGACTATTCATTGTCTTTTGCACGAGTATCCGCTATGGTAGAATAATAACTGATTGACACGTAATTCTGACGGATCCGTGAGCGCCAGGTAGACATAGTCGTATTTTGTTCTGGTTTTTTGTATACTACAGATCCATTTGTACTTACCTCTTTTATTTAGAAAGGGCCTCGGGCCCATATTAGGCCTCATATTACCAACAGTCCACGTTGCATAAACAAAAAAATATAACAAATTTTGATGGTTATATAATTTAACAGTAGTTATACCATAATAAACTTAGATATTAATAAAATCTATTTTGTTTACTCCAACATTAAAATATTTAGTCAAAATCGAAAAAAGTAAACATAACCTACCTTAACAAAAATAGTTGAATTGGCGCGTGCAAATATCAAGCCACCTGCACGCGTATTCTGTATCGTCCTAGAAACAGAAATTTCTTTCTTTAAGTATAGAGAGGAAATTTCTTTCTATGTCGTGAACTTATTCTGTACTGTTCTCTCTACGGGCGTTCGGGTACGTTCGGTTACAGAGAAATGTGAACTATCCATTGTAAGAACATTGACATCTTTTAGGGAAATTTCGGAAGTCATTCGGGTAAGTTGGCAACGATATAAAATATTTGTTGTTTTGCTTGTTTAATTTGTCAATTTGTTGGGAAATTCCGAATTATTAATAATTTAGATTTTACGACTCGTGCAAGTTTATGTAAGGAGATAGAAGTACAAAAAATAGCACCTACATGTAAAAGTATGGAGCCAATATTCCTTCATTTGCTACAGGACGCAGAAGATGAAGAAGCACAAAACCAATTACGTTTGGAGCGGAGAATTTTACGAGATAAACAAAATGCATTCGAATTGCCTGAACGAGAGTTCCGAAAGTGCTTCAGACTTAGTCGGCAGTTGGTACAAGATCTCATTCGTGATCTTACCCCTCATATGGATGCAGGAGCAAGAGGCACAAGAATTCCCGTCCATATAAGGATCTTTGGTGCCTTAAGGTTTTTTGCTCAGGGCTCATATCAGAAGGCAGGAGGAAATGAGGCGTATGTGGCATTGTCACAACCATCATTTAGCAGAGCAGTGTCTGAAGTTTGTCTGGCTCTAGAGTCAATTGCTCATAGATGGGTAAAATTCCCATTAAGTGAAGCTGAAAAGCAACAGAAAAAAGAACAGTTTATGGCGCAATTTGGATTTCCAGGAGTAATAAGCTGCATGATGGCACTCATATTGCCATTGTTACACCTCAAAATGATGAGCATCTATATTTCAATAGAAAGCAATATCATTCAAAAAATGTACAATTAATATGTGATGCAAATCTATTGATTCTAAATATAAAAGCAAATTATGGTGGAGCATCTCATGACGCTTTTATTTGGAGAAATTCCAATGTAAGGACTCATTTAGAAGAAATGTACAATAATGGTGATCATAATTCGTGGTTAATGGCAGATAGTGGTTATCCACAAGAGCCATGGCTTATGACTCCTATTCAAGGTATGCCTACTGATACTCCTGAAGGTAGATATACGGCAGCTTTGATAAGAACCAGGAATTGTGTGGAAAGATGTATAGGTATTTTATAAAAAATGTTTATTTTTAATATATTTTTGTACTAAATGAGAAAATTTTGTTTCAGGAGTTTTGAAAAATAGGTTTCCTTGTCTATTGAAAGACAGGGTCTTACATTATGCCCCCTTCAGAGCTGGTCAAATTATCGATGCCACTAGTGTCCTACACAACATGTGTGTTAGCCCCAATTCACACTGGGGGGACGGTGGCGAGGACGTGGCAAGGACATGGCACAGACGTTGCGGAGACGTGACGTGTGCCAATGCACACAGAAGGAGCGGGATAGTCACGAAAACGAAAGATTTCGAACATTCGCTGGAACATCGAGGTGAAGTTTAAGGGCCACAAACGAATGGATTTCTCAAGCAGTGATGAAGATGATGAAGATATGTTAGATCTGGTTTTCTTGGGTAATATGCAGAAAACCAGACGATTTTGGGTGCATCCATTGTGGCTAAAGAAGGGGAAAACGTGTGGAACATTCGACGTTATGCGTGAACTGAACACATACCCAGAACGATTCCAGAATTTTTATAGGATGTCCCGTGAGTGTTTTTATAATGTATTGGCACTTGTAAAAGAAGGCCTTGAAAAGAGATCAACCAATTTTAGGGAACCAATTTGCCCAGAAGAGAGACTACTGATTACTTTAAGGTAAGTAACTGAATGAATTAATTTAGTAATAAATTTATTCACAAATTTCAAAAACAGAAAACATATTTTTGTCTTCATTTCTGTGGATGTGAACCATATTTTGGGAGAAAACTCAGGTACCTCTCCATAGTGTAATCCTCTTCCTGTTCAATTTGTTGCTGCATGTTGAAGAATCGCTCTCCCCCATTGGCGTCGTCTTCGATTGACTTCGGTGATGTGCATTAAATGGTTTGTATTGAGGAATCCCTTGATAAAGTATTCACTGAAGAGCTTTTTGATTGAGCATTTATTGAGGATCCCGCTTTATGATCAGGCTGCGCATATCGTATTTGTTCGGTTAGGTTCAATATTTCCCGTTTGAAGTACAGTTTTTGTCTGTCATCCATTGCCTTCATGTCCGGTAAAATACTTTGCAAAAATGCCATATCGGGGTCAGGCTGACTTGTAGCGGTACTCTGCTGTCTCCGTTCTATCATTTGTTGTTTTGCCTCAAAATACTTGTAGGCAGAATGGTTTACATCATCTATATTTGATGATTTTAATTTCGTTCCGTTCCAGGAGTGGAGGAGGCATTTTTGTACTTGGTGTATCTTTCCCAGAAGATTCGGTTTCATCCAACTTTTCATCCATATCCTCATCTTGATTTTCTTCTTCACTCTCTCTTGCTTCCTCCTGGGTAGACTTAATGTTGCTTTTGTTTGGACGTGACCTCACGAAAGAGTCCAAAAAACGAAGGTGGCTAGCTAAGTAGTATTCTTTAATATGTTTAGCACCTGATCCAGAGGGCAGTTTTGACTGATTTTTGTATTTTGTATAGCGTCCTCTCACATTTTTCCAACGCTCCTTGCACTCTATCGCTGAAACAAGGAAAACAAATTAATGACAATGGAGACATGACATAAATAATTACGATTCATAACAAAAAAAAAACTTTTAAAATAGGATTCACAGTTCATTATGATACATTTTTTTGTTTCAGATACTTTGCATCTGGATGTTCATTCAAAGCGCTGTCCTATTACTTCGTAAAAGGACATTCTACAGTCAGAGCGGTAGTGCATCAAACTGCTAAAGTCATTTGGGAAAAATTGCAACCTAAATATATGACTGTACCGACAACAGCGAAATGGATGCAAATTGCAGACCGTTTTCATTCATTGTGGAATCTACCTAACTGTATCGGCAGCATAGACGGTAAACACATCAGAATACAAGCTCCACCACGATCAGGTTCCGCCTACATTAATTATAAAGGCTTTTTTTCCACTGTTTTACTCGCAGTAGCAGATGCAGATGGCATGTTCGTGATAGTTGATGTGGGCGAGTACGGACGTAATAGTGATGGAAGAGCATTAATGAACAGTAACTTTGGCAGAGCATTACAGTCCAGTAATCTTGATTTACCTCAACCTCGTCCCATACCTGGAGATGTCAAGCAGATTCCGTTTTATTTTACAGCTGATGAAGCGTTCCCCTTAAAGAAAACATAATGAAGCCTTTTTCCCGTAGAGAATTAACCACTAACAATAGAAGGATTTTTAATACCAGATTGTCCAGAGGAAGAAAGTCTGTGGAATGCTCTTTTGGAATGCTGGCTGCTAAATTTGCAGTTCTAAACACACCCATACGATGTACGCCTGATAAAGTTGATATACTCGTTCAAGCAATGTGTGTTTTGCATAACGCCATAAAAGAATGCAATGGTACATTCACAACGCCCCAATACGACAATATGATTCACCGTGATTCCATTTTGCAATTACCACCCCTGACCCACTCAAATGCAAAAAATATCAGAGAGTACCTAACCATGTATTTATCAGAATGTGCCCCAATTCCATATCAGGATAGGTATTGTGTATAAATAGTAATAAAGACTAAAACTTACCTTGAACACCAAATTTTTTTGCGATTTTCTGCCACGCTTGGTCCTGAGCACTCCTATTACAATAATCTGAACGACTGTAGTCGTACAAGCATGGATATTTTTCAATTTCCTCGCAAAATTGAATGTTAAATTCAATATCGTCTCGCATTTTTAAAAAGTTTTAAGTAAGCAACAAGTGTCGTGCAACGGACGTGTCTGTTCTTGTACGCCACAAGAGACTGGAAGAAGACGTGGCAAGGGCGCGATGGCGACCGCCAGCGCCACGTTGCCGCTGTGTGCATTGGACAATTCAATTATATAGGAGAGACGCTGAATTGACATAAGTCTGTGCCACGTCCTCGCCTCACGTCCGTTCAGTGTGCATCGCGCCTTAGGGCTAATTTGGATATGGAAGATCAAGAAGAGGAGCAAGATGATAATGATGTTCCAGGGTCGGATGCTATTGTAAGCAATGTTCTTGAACAAGGGCAGGCAAGGAGAGTCAACATAATACAATTGTATTTTCAAAATGTTAGATAGATATTTCAAATAAAATGAAACTAAAATTAAAAAAAATATTTTATTGTGAAAAACACCATGAAACAAAAACAAAGGTTTTCCACAAACAAACATTACAACGAAAAAACTTGAATCATTATTCAGTCAAACAATCTAAGAGCAAACAAAAATAAATTCTATAAATAAATATTATTTATACTTCTAAAACTAAAATCACATTGTTTACAATGTTTATTCATTTTTCATCTTTTGTTCTTATATAGGCCAAAAGTTCTTTAAGTGTTCCAGCCATTGCTTCTTGGGCTTCAGCCTGTCGTTTGACAATTTTTTCCTTTCCTCCATGGCCTCCTGATGCATTTTTGCCAAGGAAACAAATTTCCTTGATTTTTCAGTAGATAGTCGACTACGTTTTCTGGCTGGTTCTTGATTAAGTAACCTTAGTGTTGGAGGCGACTTCGATACTGTGCTGCAAGAAGGTTGAGGATCTGGTGTTGCAGTATTACTGGTGTTTTCTTCTATGAAGGGTTTCAATTCTGGCAGTGGCTGGTGTGCTGCGATGGGCCGGATGGATCCCTGTAGATAAAAATGTTTGTACTGTAAGTACAATTCTTTGTGAGGGCTCAGTCGCTAGCTCTGCCATTATGCTATGTTTTATTTGGGAATGTAATGTAATATTTTTCATTTTTTTCCATTCATATCTGAATTAAAAAGAGTCAACCCTGTTAAAGGGCAATGAGAGGATGTTAAAATATACAGGGTGCCTCATTTGAAAATTGATTGATTGATATCATGTTTAACCCTTAACCCACCTTGTGAGAATGTTTGGCATAAACAGCCATGTGTCGTCTGACAGACTACTTATCAAAAATAAACAAAATGACGCTCGTTTTTTTTTTAACTTTATTTTTGGAATTTTGTAGTGACAAATGAGGTTACTTCTACTAAAAATAACGATACTTTATACATTTTCGGTATTATTAATGCAATTATAGTAATAGTAATAAACTTAAACACAATATTTACTCTAAAGAAAATTTAAATTCGGCTTATACAAAAAAAGTGAAAATATTGTAATATTTTTGGACAACTTTGTTGAAAAAGTAGTATATTATATAATCCAACTTAAAAATCAATTAAAACCTAACCAAGTTGCCTTGTAGCAAGAGCTAAATATTTCGTTTGTTTATACACATATCACATAATGGTTTCAAACATTGTAAGCAAATTGCACGTTTACACTGCACACATAAATATTTTGTCATACGGTGTTTTGCTCGTGGACATAAGTAACATCCCTTGCGTTTTTGAAGCACTAGATCCTCTTCTGCTTGTAGTTGATCTACTTCCGGTATTCCCAAAATTCTACTAATAGTGCTGCGTATATCGCGAGGTACTCGAGGATCTTTCTGGCGCCTCTCCATGTTTTCCCGAACTAAGTCAGCTGCTAGTTCTTTTGCAAACACTGACTTTTTTCCCGAACTGCTACGTTGTCCTTGAAACATTGATGTAAAATATACGAATTTATTACAGAAATGTCAAGTATACGGAAGAATATCGCAAGCGGCCATCTACGGGTGCGTCGACTTGAAGAACTTTTAGAACACTTCTCGTCAATTGTATCCACACCTCCCTTGTTCCGATTATAATAGGCAATGATTTCTGGATTTTGTGTTTCCGGATCAGTAAATTCCTTATCATGCATAGAAGAAAGTAAGACTACCGATTTTCCAGGCTTACTCACATGGGAAACCATGGTGACCTCTTCTCGAAATCCGTATAATGATGATCCTAATTTTCTCTTTTTGTTCGGCAAAAACTCCGTGAGAATTTCTCTTTTATTTTTCCTAACTGTTCCGACGTAGGTATGTTTATTTTTGAGCAAAACATCTACAAGCTCCATGGAGGTAAACCAATTATCAGCTGTTATATTCCGATTGCTCCCAAAAAAAGGTTTAGCGAGGCGTATAACAGCCTGGGTCGGTTTAGAAAACTTCTGTTCTTCTGCACTTAGTCCAAATCCATCGGATCCTTTCCCACAGTAAATCTAAGCATTGCAAAGATAACTCGTCCTAGCATCAGTGAGACACATAAGCTTTATGCCATATTTACAGGGTTTGGCAGGCATGTACATTTTGAAATGAGTTCTCCCCCTAAAACTAACGAGCATCTCATCAATTGTCATTGATTCTCCCATACCATAACAGTCTTGACAGTTTTCAATGAACTTCGTAAAAACTACAGAAATTGCTGCTGTTGGGTCTTCTTCCTTACGATAAATTCTTGTCTCAGGGTTATCAAATCTCAGAGCAGCTAATAGAATTGCAAATCTATTTTGGCTCATTACTGCCCGGAATATCTCTCTGCCCGATCCATCGGTAGAAAAAATTGTTTTTATATTTTCATGGTTCGATTTGAATACCGATGTGTAAATCAACAAACCTAGGAAAGCTTTCAATTCGATTTTATCTAAATCTCTTACATGGCTGATACTGTTTTTATCCTTGTAGTTTGAACGTATTTGGAAGAGTTTGTGATTTGTCCATATAATTATCTGTTCTAAAATATCGTCGGAGAAAAATAGGTTCCATACCGGGATAGGATTTGCGCTGTTACCTAGGTCGCGAGCTCTTCCTTTTGCAGTTGGAACCTTCATGACTATGTTGTGTTTTCTTACGCGCGACGAAGGAATTACCTCACTAGTGCACCACCTGAAACGGTTTTTTCCGTAAAAATATTTATTTTCTCCTTCCATAACTTCAGAATCAGCAGTATTTTTGTCTTCATCACTATCACTTTCATTACAGTCTTCTTCAGAAAAGTCAGAAGCCGTGTCGTGTTCAGATTCAATAACTTCATCTTCTGGCGCACTGTCAACATCACTCGCATCACTATCAACTTCATTATACCACTGTAGAACAGTTTCTTCAAACTTATCATCCTCAAAACGAATTCTTTTCGACGGACCGGCCATATCAGATCACACGATGTTTCTAACACAAACGAACATGTGGCGTCTAGGAGACTACGCTGAATTAACGGACCGAAATAGTTTATTTGCACACGGGCATAAAACAATGCCAGTCAGGCGATATATAATGGACCAATAGTAGAAGGATTAGGTGGGGTGACAAGTTTTGGGGGCGGTCCGTTTTAAGAAATACAGTCAATTAAATTTATTGAGTAGTCTGTCAGACGCCACATGGCGGGTTAAGGGTTAATAACAGAGGTATCAACCGAGGCCACACTGAAAGCTCACCCTGCATATTACAATCCTACTTACAATTTCATTTAAATGTATCAAATGACATAGTTACCAATCCCAGCTCTGCATTGCTATTCCCTGTTACTGATTTCCAACCAATTAATTTCATTAGTCGCGCCTCTGTGTCTGTTAACGGAGCAGCATTTAAACAGCCACCACCAGTTTTTTGGCTCTCGATCCTCAGCTGTGCTGCTTTTGCCTTAACCTTAGATTTCCATCTACCAACAGCCTAAAGCAATATATAAAAATGATAAATTATTGATATAGCACTGTCCAACATTAAACATTAATAAACACCCACATTCATTCTTAAAGTATTTCAAAGTACATATATTTGTATCTTTTTAAATGACAAACTGACATATAATTTTAATCATTTTGGTAAGCTGCTGGAGATGGTTTGTGGTTTGAACGTTTAAAATACAAATTCTCAAAGAACTTTAGAATAATCAAAAGTTTTTTTCCAGTTGTATAAAGTAAACCTAAGTGGTAAACTACTGTCTATAATTTGTGCAACAAGCACGATATAGATAAATATATACGGTCATGATATAAAAACCAAACCATTGTCCATTTCTCCACACTCCTAAACCCAAATCCCATCGAATTCAATGATTGTACTAGATTCTCCCAACATATCGCATTTTGTTTAGCATCACCGTCACCATGCTTGAATTGTGGTCTAAAAATTGTGGGATGCTCTTCTCCAAAGTCCACAATAGTGCTCCACTGGTGAGGATGAGTCTTAAAATCCCGTTTATCTGGAAAATGTTATTTAAAAATTAAGTAGTTTGGTATTAAACTGAGACTTACCCATGGTATTCACTTGTAGATGATTATTATTAACCGTCGTTAACCCCACTTTTACGTAATGTAGACAACATGCGGACTGCCGACAAAGATGCAATAAGTACGCGTGTGTTAAAAAGAGACAAGAATAATAGAAAGAGGTAATTTTGTCTTTCTATTCCTTTATACCGAACAATGCCTTCGTGCAACCCGAGCGCTGCCGAATCATCTTGCAGAATAGGGTAAAGTGCGATAAAGAGTTTATAGAAAGAAATTTCTTTCTTAGAGGATACAGAATACGCGTGCTGTTCTGACAGAGACGGAAAACGAACTCGATATGATTGAAGAATGAATAAGCCGTTCGGAAGGAGTAGTATATGCAAGTGTTCATAGATGCCACTGGTATACTATGTTCAAACGGCAAGGTGCCCATATTAAATGCAGGACCTTCTCTATTTATAACAAAGAATGAAAACCGTTGAAAAGATATCAGGTTGTTTTATATAAGTACATACAGATGGCGCCATTTTTCCTCTGGCTTACGTTTAGTGAACATACGTCGCGTTTCTTCAACCGTCACACAGATGGCGCTGTTTGTAAAATCGATTGTATTGTTCTTTCATCAAAAATAGAGCGTGATTAATATGATCGAATTATTAAAAATCGATTTTTAATATTTAGAAGACAGTTAATTATAAAAAAAAATTCGTGAGAACATTGAATTCTTAGGCAAATCGACTGGGACCCATGTTGCGTATTCTACATGCAAATTTTGACATCTTGTCATGGGACTTTCATGTTTGCGATCACTGCTATGTTAAATCGATCATGATTAGTTATTCTGTTGCTTTTCGTAGTTTAAAAGGAGCATTAATTTGAAAAAAACCAATGTAGCTATTGTGACATCTTTGTAATAACGTGTTAGAAAATTTTTAGTCAATATATATTTATGGAAAAGAAGATGTAGACTATTATGGCTGTGTTATATATAATATATTCCTTTCCCATTTCAGCGGAAATACCAATATGTGTTGTTTAAATAACTGGACTACATTAAAGTAGTGTTTATAAATCTATGTAATTTTTCATGGTATATCAGTAGACACTTTTGCATTGAAACATTGTCATTTTGTCACAGTGAAAGTAGTTGTTGGAATGGTGTCGTATTTGTAATGCGCTTTCTGATGGATCAGGGATATTAGATATAATGTATATTTGATTTTTTCTCAACATTAATAAAAAAAATTCAAGTTTTTATTTGGAGGTCTCAAGGGCATGCTTTCAATCTTCAGTAAAGAGCACTTAGGAATCTAGTCTGTCTTTTTCGATTAACATATGTATGTTGTATCATAATATCCCTGAACTCTGTGTTTGAGGAATATTTATTACATTTTTGAGGTGTTTCATATTTTGGTATTGTATTGGTTATTTGTTTTTGAACAATGTTTTGTCCAGTATTTTTCGAAACATGATTTATAGATATAATAATTATGTATAAATGATTTATGTGAATGTATTATTTTTCTTGAATAGTTTTATTTTGAGAGTTCACACTGCTTATATCTATTTTAATATATACTTATAAATATCTACGTAAAATAAATTAATTATACACATGTTTTTTTTTATCGTATTCGCCTCCTATTTACGCTGGTTTCGATTATTGATTTATTTTTAGATTAAGGCTTTCTGGTTTCAGTATTATTTCTATATCCTGTCATCAATTTCGTTTCGACTGTGGAGCAGCAATAAGGAATTATAGAAACCAGGACGACAAGAGTTATATTGCCATTTTTAACCTTTGTTGCATTTGATGCTTTTTGTTTGTTTAGTCATTATCTTCTTGCATGGCTATTTTATATTTTAACTATTTTGAAAGAAATCAATTCATTGCTCCCATGCTTTTTTTCAGCATAAACATCTACATGTGCTGAGAGTCACAGGTGAAGTTTCAGATGTTTTATCATTAGCAATAATGCTGTTTGTTTGTTATATACAGGTTGTCCTATGATTACAATGTTTGCAAAAGATAAGCTAGGCTTCGTGAGACGGAGAAACAAGTCTCCTTTATAACATTAGTGATGCTAAAGAAACGTATTTACTTTTGGGAAAGTCTTGCTTTCAGTTTTACCTAGCACAGCTTAATATTGTGTGAATTCGGACACCCTGTATAAATAATTATTCTTCGCATGTACTAACTTTAATTTTTTTTGTTCAACAGGTATGATATTCAGCATGTGCGGGTTGATGATGCGACTGAAGTGGTGCGCTTGGGTGGCACTGTACTGCTCCTGCATCAGTTTTGCCAACTCAAGAATATCTGACGATACAAAACAGGTAAGCACTTATTTTGAAAACATTTGTGTATCTGTCAATTTAACAGATACATATCGAAGAATTTAATGCCATAAGGTATGAATAAAGGCGCAACTGAAGTTGAAGACGAAATGGGAAGTGAAAGCGCATGAGTGCTGTTGTGGTCGTAGCTATAGACAAATAGGACGATGCTGCGGCTCAAAATCAGGGCCGCCGCGTTAATCTCTCATAAGGGGGCGATATCACCCACTTTGAGAAAGCCTAGTCCAAAGGTTAAAATTTGCTACGCAGCTCCGTTTAGAGTTTCTACATAAATAGCGAGCGCCTAAGATCACAAACAATGTTTATCTGTTTTTTTGTTATGACTTGCAGATTTTGAGCTCATTCATGCTCTCCATATCGGCTATAGTGATGTCGTATCTGCAAAATCCTCAGCCAATGACACCACCATGGGCTTCAGCTGTCAACTGAGGCATACTGGATTGGGAATTGGATCAGTCATTATACCTTTAAGTGCAAACCAATTTCATTAAATGAAGTGTGTACCACTACAATAAAGATTTTTCCAAACATTTTTTCATAATTTTTTAGACAATGACCTTCCGATTTTTTTACCAGGTTTCTTGTGTGATTTTTGAAACCGAAATTCCGTAGCCATGTGTTCCTTATTTGATATCATACTTCACATTCAGTAATGTGTTGGTACCGGACGCAACAAATTGCAAACAAAAATTTTAGACGCTCCAGTTTATCGTCACTTTTGCTGATTTACAAGCAGAATTTACAATGTGCGTGAGGAGAGAGAAGGTAAAAGATATTCCGCTTGGTCTTTGGTCCTTTAGTACGACAGAATATTCCGATTTCAGCAAAAATGAAATTACGTGCCGTTTCGTTATCTTTACGACCAGGTCTGCAGCATTGAGGCTGTTGTGTTAGTGCGGGTGAAGATAGGAATACTTTTGCTATAACAGGCCTAATCTTTATTTACTAATTGTTTCGCTGGTTCTCGCTTTTCTCCGTGGCACTGACACGCGAATGTATTTGGAAACACTTCTAGTGGGTCATAACTTTTACCAGCCGATTTAAATAAAGTGTCTGTCTAGCGATTGGAAAAAATGTTTTATACAAAAGTCGTAGAGCCTAATATATTTTTTTATCGAATAGTGTCCCATTTAAAATATACAACTTTAATCCGATAGGAGTTCGCCGAGGCAAATACAAAAAAAATCTAGCATGAAAAATATCGCACCCTATAATTATTCTATGAAACTTCTCCTGCTAAACTGTCATACAAACAAGTTAGAGAGAGCTCAGGGTGATTCACAAGTTGTGGCCAAAAATGAAACATCATCATACAGAGGACCGCATTCTAAGGGGGGTATTCTATGTAACATTTTTTCCTCGAGGGCTTCATTAAAAAGATACGGGGTGTTGAAGTTTAAAAATAAAAAACAATTTTTTTAATATCTTCAAAACCGGCTACTTTAATGAACTAAAATTTGGTAAGTGGATTAATCTATTGTCCACATTAAAAAGTCTTTACTTAAAATTAGCGTGCACCAGTGGCAGAGATACAGGGGATCAGTAGCATTATTTTTCCAAATAAAAGTAGTACGCCCTTGTCTCTTTCGTTAAACGACCAATTTTTCGAATTTTATCTTCAATTTGCTACAAATAATTACTCTTGTGTTTTTTTATTTATAATTTGTAGCAAATTGAAGGTAAGATTCGAAAAATTTCTCGTTTCGAAAAAAAAACAGTGGCGTACTATTTTTACTTGAAAAAATAATGCCACTAATCCCCTGTATCTCCGCCACTGGCGCACGTTAATTTTAAGTAAATACTTTTGAATGTTGAAGATATTAAAAAAAATGTTTTTAATTTTCAAACCCTGTATCTTTTTAATGAAGCCCTGGAGGAAAAAATATTACATAGAAGACCCCCTGAGGTCCTGCGTATGATGTTTCATTTTTGGTCACGACTTGTGAATCACCCTGTATACTTTGCAATAGTGTTTTACTAAATGTATAATAAAAATCAGCCGTCAGAATTCAAGTAAATTTGTTCTTATTTTCACTTGTCTTATCTGGTGCTAGTTAATTGGCCGAATATCCAACTTGATGGGAGTTAAATGGAAAACCAGACTAAGTATGAATTTCGCTTCCATATTATTATGTAGCCAAGTAGCATTGTATCATTGTACATAAAGACAATACTATAGCAGGTACGCAAGCGCTGAAGGACCACCATATAAACGCTATTCACTGTCCCACATTTTGTTTCAGAAAATGAGGAATTTTCAGCAGCCTATATTAGACATGCTGCTTTCGTCCGTCCGACCCTAGACAGCCAACCATGGACAGATGTTTCGTGCTTTCTGGCAACTCATCAGCGTGGTCTAGGCGTGGGCACTATTTATCCTCTATCCGAGGTTTGAGATTTATTGAAATAAGACAGCAGGAAGTGCCATCTATCAAAAGAATCTATCATTGCGATAGTATATGCTAGCTGTCGGTTGGAACTGTAAAGATCTCAGTTCGCGTTTGATAGCTCAGTTTCCGCTGTGACCGCTAGGGGCTAACGATTCTGGTAGCATAGTAGATGTTGTCTACTCGCCATTGAACAAACTATATTGGTGACATTGATTTTATTTTGATAGACCTGATTCTATATTACTTAAAAAGCTGCCTTTTACATCACAATTGTTAAATTCCCCGCCTATGAATCTCCCATTTAGTTAGCTGGTGCTGGGTGCAGCTGTCCCTGCGGTATATTAGAGAAAAGGCCTGCTGCCTGTTATGAAATGTAATTATACATCACTTCATTATGCTGCGACTAATTAGGTTTTAAAAGGTTCTAAGTTTCTGCGAGTGAGGTGACTCTTTTGCTCTCTCTTTCCAACACAGAGATGCCCACCAGCTTTGTGTGTCCATTAACTGGGGAGCTTCCGAAAATAAAATATAATGAACGAACGGGGAGAATAAACGACCTTTTGG